CTTCCCGCTTTCTGAGCAGAGCTGATAACTTATGACCTCCCAGATGCCAAGTCCTGCTTGCTGTCGGAACACACTCCGTCTGGCCCCTCCACTTTTGCAAGCCAGACTCGGGGCTCTGCTTGGCCGGCGGGCCGCCCCTCTGCCCCGGATCCCTCCCGCCAGTCCATGGAGTGCACACTGCCTCTCCGCCTTTCCTACCCTCTTCTGTTTGCCTCTCGTCTGTACTTGGCTCTGGAGACTCCATTCTGCTAATCCTCTGGCAGTTTTCTAGGTTATTTAGGCAGGTGTAGGTGCAATCTAAGTGATCAGCACGATGCGCGGTGAGCCCAGAGTTCTCCTATGCCGCCATCTTCCCTATTCCCTCTGCTTGTCTTCTTTTAATAACTGACAGAATATCAGCATAACTAGGGTGTATTGAATACAGTGGTTGGTGGAGAAACCTTCATGTGCAAGAGTGAAAGGGGGAAGACCACTTAAGAGGCTACTGTAATGATCCAGGCAAAAAAAAAAATTATAAAAGTCTGACTAGTAGGTTGGGAGTGGATGTGGAGAAAAATGAGTGTATTGAGATGGAAAGGACACTTACAACTGTCAGATTTCTGTTTGGGGGGGCTGTGTGGACAGAGGTGTCATTTACAGAGATAGGGAGTTTGTCAATGATGAACACAGTAGTGGGAAAATTGCCATGGAATCAAACCTTGGTATTCAACCAAGGTATACTTTTCTCTATTCCTGGTATTCCACAGGTTCTTTAAAACTGAGGTAGCTGCAGAAATGCCTGCTCCGTTGATGTCCAAAGATTAGAGTTCATTGCAAGGGGCCCAGAGAATAATATCCCTGTCTCTGGTAGATATTCTCTCAGCAGAAAACCATGAGGTCTATGTTTATTTGGATACCACCTGTAGCATACAGCACAGCTGTTCATCTCCACTGAGCTTACAATTATACAAAGCAAGAGTTGCAGATACAACAATTCCTACTAAACAACTTTCAAGTTCTACTGTTTAAGAATGGGACCACCCAATCACCCCTGGCTCAGGTGATGGGTATTGAGGAGGGCACCTTTTGGGATGAGCACTGGGTATTGTATGGAAACCAATTTGACAATAAATTTCATATATAAATAAAATAAATAAATAAATAAAAATAAAATAAAATAAAAAAATAAATAAATAAATTAAATACATTCATCTTTATATAAAAAAAATTGATCATTGATTTTTAACATTCTTTTATGATCTCAGTTATTTGTTTCTGAAATTCTATTATTTCTTTCTTCAAATAGTTCTTTTATTGAGGATGTATACAATGTATGCCAAGAGCATATATTGTGGAGCTACATTGTCTGGATTTGACTTCCCAGTCTACTATCATTAGCTGAAAGTTACTCCACCATTTTCAGCCTTGGTTTTCTTATCTACTATCTGCATATTAATAGTGAAAAACACTTATAATGATATCTGACATACAGTAAACACTCAGCAAATATTAGCTATTATTAAGGTTCTCTCAGTTCCAATCTCACTGCCACACCCCTTAGCCTTTTTGTCTTGATTAATTCTTTTGCCCCTAACTTTGATAAACTCTAGTTGACAATTAAAATTGTATATATTTGAGGTAAAGAAAATGGTAATGGAGTAGGAGGACCCTAGGTCACTTTGTCCTATGAACACAGCCAGATAACTATCAAATCAACCTAAATATTCCAGAAATATACCTGAAGACATACAGAACAAATTACACAGCTAAAAAGACAGGGGTCACACCAAAGAAGGTAAGAAGTGTGGTCACGTGATTTAGGAAAGAAACATTGCTGTTGCTGCAGAGGGAAGGGATCCATGCTTTCAACAGAGAAAGTTGAGAGAGGACCACACAGGGGAACACACAAGGAAAATGTTTACCCAAAGTCATTGGCTGGAAAAAGAAAAGTGCTAAATTTCCTGACTTCATGCAATCAGCAGGGCTTAGAGCTTGGACTTTTAAAGGTCAGCAAGCTAGACTGGGATATAGCAGAAGGGCACTGCTCTGCTCCTAGAGAGAAAGAGGGCAAGACACCAAAGGGTAGCCAGCATGGAAACAGTGAACTGAAGAGTGCCTGGGGCATTGAGCAGAGATATTATTTGCTTTCCTCAGAACAAGTCCCTGAGAGGTAGTACTCATGGAGATACATTTCCAGGAACAAAGGAGGTGGCATGTGTCACTTCCTCTACCCACCCCTCAGCATAGACACAAAGCCACCTGCAGGAAGCAGCACAGTGCAGACATTGGCTGCCTAACTTTCATACACAAAGCCCCATTGTCCCATACACAAGTGGGTCTGCCCTTTACAGTCAAACTTGCCTCAGTCCCTGCAAGCAGGCCCCTCCCCCATA